CGGGACGTTCTCCTGGTTCTCCTGCGCGGCGAACATGATGGCGGCGCCGGGAGCGGGGCCGGGCCGCGCGGACGCGCCCAGGGCCGCCGAGTCTCGCGCCGCGGCGCCGCTCTCGCCCTTCAAGTAGCCCGCGACTATTGAACCGGCCAATGGGGGAGCGCGCGCCGCGCGCGTCACGCGCCCTACGGGCAGCCGCAAGGGCCAAAACGGCAGCGCGGCGCGGCGGGAGAGGGCGCGGCCTGGGGTGGCGGGGCGGGGCCTGTAGGGCGGGAGGAAGGCCGCATGCGCAGTGCGCGCCGGGCAGCGGCTGCCGCCTCCCGCGCGGGGAGGTGCCTCGGCCGCACTCGGCCCCGCTCGGCATCATTCGGCTTCGCTCGGCCCCTCTCGGCGCCGCTCGGCACCATTCGGCCCCTCTAGGAGCCGCTCGGCCCCTCTCGGCGCCGCTCGTGCGCGGCGGGCGGGAAGCGGCGGCGCGCGGGCGGGGCGGCGGGAGCGGCGGAGGGAGCCAGGACAAATCCTTGGCTTCCCCGTTCGGGGGTCGGAGGGAGCAGGGGGCGGTCTGCCGCGTAACCAGCGCTAGGRCAAGGGGAAACGGCCTCAAGTTACAGCAGGGGAGGTTCAGCATCGACCAGAGGAGGAATTCCTGCAGGGAAAGAGTGGTGGAACATGGGAACAGGCTGCCGAGGGAAGCGGGGGAGTTCCCATCCCTGGCAGCGTCCAAGGCAGGTGTAGATGGGGTGCCTAGGGACACGGGTGCGCAGGCAGGGGGTGAGGGGTGCAGCGTTGGGCTGGATGACCTTGAAGGTCTTTTCCCACCACAATGATTCTGTAATCACTTCTTTATCGTGGYTGCGCGAGATACAAAAGCACACACATCTCCATCCAAAGACCCTTTACTGTGTTCAGTAATAAAAAAGAGACTGAAGAGTACACTGCCTTCCCAGCAAAGGGAACCGAACGCTTCTGGGGAATGAGTTCCAAAGAGCCACGGGAGGAGAGGCGCAGGGGACACCTGTAGAGCACTCCACCTCGGAAGCCGCGGGGGCAGCGGCAGGAGCAGCTCGCACGTCTCACCGCAGAGCTGCTGGTCTGGGCCGCTCCGCACGGCAGCGCGGCCGCCAGCGCGGCTCCCCCCACACATTCAGCACCTGAGCTTCTAGTGCGCCACGTCCATGAAAATTAGTCCCTTCATACATCCCTACAAACGGAAAATACTCACATTTATCGTCTCTAATAGTACTGAAAATATAATTCTGCAAAAGGGATATTCATTATCTGCTTCTCCATATTTCCTTAGCTATGAAGATCATTATGAACATATAAGCTATGTGTGCATTTCACACATACAATGGTTTATACGAACTAAAGTTGATCAGTATTCAATATGGCAATAAATAAGAATAAAATGAAAAGAGTAAAAAGAACAGTAAAACTCTCCCCTCCCCAAACTGATGTATTGGACTTGGTAGGTGACTGCTTTGATTAAAAAACCAATAGCTAAAAGGCATCACTGCGTCCTTTCCTTGGCGCTTCCAAATCAGGCTGCAGCCTCAAAGAAGGCAATTAGTCCATCTTGATCACAGCCATCCAGGATTTCCAGAAGAAGAGGAACTTTGGTTTTCACGTTGGTGCCTTTAAATTTAAATTTATCTATGAAGAGATCGGTGATCATACCTACAAAAGTAAAGTTCCAAGATTTTTCTTTTTTTCCAAGAAAGAAAATCATGTTTTCAGCTATGAGATATCTCTGCTTTTGACTATCTATAGATTATTCTAGACTATTTAATTTTGTTTTTAGAGACAGGACCATTTTTAAACTTGATGTTTTAAACAATGATTTACTTCCAAATACATCCACAACAGTCTCCCATTATCCTCAGATTTCAGCTTAATTCCAAAGGATGTGTATATATATATATCTCAGCCTTAAGAGTTACCCACACGTGAAACACTCAGGAGAAAGGAACAGTCCTCGGGTAGGAAAGGGCATCTCATTATTAAACCTAGCACCTAAGGTAAAAGTGATATGGGGAAGCTCACCAGAAAATGCARCAGAATTTCTTTCACCTAATTGGATCAAAGATTATCCCTTCACATCCTGTGCATATTTTTCTGTTWTTTTTTTAAGCCTTTTACTTCGGCAGAACTTAATCACTCATTCAACTTAGATATATTCATAAATACCATCCGGAATTGGAATACCTTCCTTAATCACATTCATAAAGACAAGGATCATCCGAATATAAAAAGCTGCCTATTAAACAGAAGGTAGAGAAGTCCCTTGCAAATAATCCTGACAGTCACAGCGCCATGCTTATGACACATAATACAGATAGCACTCCTGTATCAAATCATTTCAATGCCRCAGCTACTGGCTTCATAACTATTTTAATCATGTCCAATGTGTGCTCTGAATATTAATTGGAATTTAGGAAAAAAAAGAAAACAAGTTGGGTTGATGAACAAACCATAAAGTCTCTCGAGATGCGCAGGTTGCTTCTTGTATTCCTCAAGCAGCTGATCCGACTCTTCTAAAATGCTCCGGTACTTTGGGAGCAAGAAGTCCACGTTTCCCTCATGGACTTGTAATTCCTCAAAGACATTTTAAATTTTGAAAATTAGAAGAACATAAATGTAACAAAAATGCATCTTAGATCTGACAGGAGAAAATACTCCAGGGATTAAACAGTGTCCTTCAGAATAACTCTTGCTAATTCAGAAATGCCTTAATCTCTAGGTTTTCTAATGCCAGATGTTGCCTGTCACTTTATACACACGGGTCCTCAAAATGCTACATATTACAGCTCTGAGCCCTTTAAGTGCTGCCAGGACAGCTTCACTGCACAGCTCAGCCTCTACAGCACCAATCCCAAAGCTTTCACCAGGCTTTTACTATCAGATCATAGCTTTTACTATCAGATCAAATTAATATAGATCTTTTTATCCAGTACAGAAAGCCTGTTCTCTTCTACACTGAAGGTAATTATGCATTTTGAGTCTTCAKCGCTATCAGCTTTCATCAGTCACCACATTATTTTACTGCTGCTTAATAAGCACCAGTGGCACAGGAAAGTTAAAGGTTTGCTATGCCAAAAAAARCCCAAGACAAGCACAAAACACCAAGAGCTCCAACATCATTACCTATGCACAAATGTAACATGCAATAATAAATTCTCTATTATTTGGTATCTCTCAAGTTTGTCTAATGAGGCCTAAGCAATACTCTTTTACTGGTAACAAAAGCATACAACATGCTGTGTGCTCACTGGTGGGGCAGCTTTTCCACTAAGCAGAGTTCGGACAACTAGTYCAGTGCAAGGAGGAGTCAGCTCCCCGTTCCCACTGTTCAGTTTAAACCCTCTCAACAACAAGCAGTGACTCTGTGTGTTATTCGCTGGTACAAACAGAAGTTTTACTTCAAAATGTGTGGCTCCAACACAACTACTGTGTGTATCTTGGGAGCAGGAATAGGTAACATTAAGGCACATATCTAACTTGAATCATGCAGGGATTTGCTACCATAACCCTCCTGAAAAGCCTCCAGAGAATACTTACTTTCAAAGCATCTATTAAGTGAACCTTCTTGGCCAGCAGCTGCTGATACTCTAGTTTGGGGTGGATAAGCTTTAATGTATACCTCACAGAGTCTTCGTTTATGTCTAGTGGGGCATCAAAAACAGGAACAACAAGCAAACGAGTAATATATTTCATTGTAAATAACATAAAATGAAGTCAAAGACAGTAAAACAGCAATTTTACCATATGATATATTAAGATTAATCTTCCTTTTAGTAGCCTCTTTGGAAAGCACATCTTTTAGGATGGATATGGTAGATATGTTGTCAGACTTAAAAAGTCCCTCGCCTTTTCTATAAAAAGAAAGAAAACTTTTAAACAGACCAACCTAAAACAGCTGTATGCATTACATATTTTCCCATTTTAAAATGTAAGACCCATAATTTAATAATGAAAGCAGAAAACAAACCAACAACCTCTATGTTCGTGACAGAACCACAAAATGGTTGAGGTTGGAAGGGACCTCTGCAGATCCTCTAGTCCAACCCCCTGCTTCAGCAGGGACACCCAGAGCACGGGGCACAGGGTGGCATCCTGGCCATAAAGATTCTTCTCCTACTGGGTGGTTGTATACAGCCATGTCACTCCCTCCTCTCSTATTCACAGTGTAATCTTGTCAGGGAACAGAATTTGTTCCAGGAGTTAACGCGAAGCGGTGTCTTCAAGCACACATAGATAAAGAGGTTTGATCTTATTTGATGCATGACATTAAGGTTACACAAGTAAGATTTTGGATGGCATTCAACGTACTAATATTTTTCTCAGATTTATGATTCTAACATCTGGAAGGCAAACAGGAAGGCAAGCTCCATCACCAGAAGGGGGGAAAAAAAGACCATGTCTATCCCCTACAAGGACCACAACCACTTTCTAGTTGTTAAGTATGGTATCATTACTGTATAGGACTCAATCRGGGTAATATTAGACAGCACTTTTTAATCAAAATTTTCCATTATTTCTACTGGGAGTTTTTACTGGGGACAGGAAGTGAGAGGAATGGAGAGGCAAATACTAGCATGCGCATGAGAATAGTCCTCATAGACTGGTCAAAAATACCCCAGGAAAGTCCACTCTCCTTCAGTAACTATATTTTACCTGTAAGTACTTTCAAGCTGCGTACCCAGAAAGGTGTTCTGAAAATAAAAGGTGATACTCTCTCCAGCTGGAGTCTTTTCAGGAACTTCAGGCAAGCAAAACACAACCCAGGAATGAATTTCAGCAAAACTGAACTGGCCTTTGAGCATCAGCGTATTCATGGGTCTATGACATTAGGAAAGTAAAAACTTGGCATTAGTTACTAGCAGTGGCACCATCAGTGCACTGGTTATCCCTATGAAAATGGAAAATAAACACTTAATTCCACGTGATCATCTTGGTTTTTTGATCAGCATCCTGCCAAAAATAACAGCAGCAACAACATAATAATCTCCCTTGTCCAATTCCAGTATCTTGCGAAGGACATTGCAGATTAGTTTTCTATAACTCAAGACAAAAAACTATGAGAATGTGCAAATTTTAGCTTTATGCCAGTAAGTATGTCAAAATTGGGTAAGAACCAGTTGGAGGTTTCAGACATACCTATTTCAAGTTGTTAAGCTTGAAATTTTTGATAAAGGTAAATAACTGTCAAAAGATATGRCGAAAAGCCTCAAGGGCCTTCCGTTCTGTAAACCACAGACAGACAGCATTTCCATCAAAACAAGGAACACTTTTGCATTTCAAGTAAATACATTTTATATTATTCATTCAATCCTTCAGTTTAAATGATATCAACAGATGGTAATGTAAGATACTGATTAAAGGGGAAGTCAAAATTTGGTAAAATAATGAAGGAAATGGGGAAAAAAGTATTTCAGCAGCTAAGTTAGCAAAGGGAAAGAATTACAACAAAGGAGTTCAGGGGAAGTTGAGCCTGAAATTCAGAAAGACAGTGTCACACAGGACACTTTCCCTTCTGTCACACCCTCAGCTCCACAGACACACAGGGCTGCACTATAACGCGCCATCAATACAACAAAGGCAATAACCTGAAAATACAATGATTAAAATGTCAAAGCAAGCAGGAAACTTTTCATCTGCCTTTTTTTTTTTTGTCAAAAAACAGCTCAAACTCTTAAGTTGAGCATCATTATTTAAACTTGTACTGTTTCCACTGCAGTGCATGAGAAAGAAAAGCATTGTTTTTTCATTGTAAATACCGGTCGTGGTCGATAGAATGGGTTCTCTGATGAAGTGAAAGTGGTTTAATCTGATATTGATGAACTTGGCAGGTTTTCGGTTGAATTCTTGGAGTTACGTATGCTTGAAGTGTCCCRTATTGTCCTTCAATCGATCGAACCTGCATAAATAGGAGGAGAACCCACAAGCAAGAACAGGAGAGAAAAGATGAACTGGTGGGTGTTCAAAATTGAATAGAGATGATCTCTATTTCAGCAGGACTTCAGTACAGTACAGAGTTCATAAAAATCTATGGTCTTTACCACAGTAATAATTGACCATACCAAGAAAAAGCCTAGATAGAGTCTTTCTGTGTTTTGAAGATTATCTTCAGTAATTATGTTTTCACCTATTTTTCCAGTAGTAACCACAGAAATATATGGATTTGGTGGAACATTAGAAAAAAAATAAATGCAATCAAGCAAGCAAACAACCCAAAAATCACTAAGCATGTGTGCTTTAATCTAGAAACTTCCCAGGAAACAAGCAGCAGCAGAAAGGTACTACATGAGAATAACTTGGCTCATCATTTGTTCAGGCTAACCAGTCAATCCAGGAGGAGATACCTAAGCACCACACTGCCACATAGCATATGATTTCCCATGGGAAGTATTTTGTGGCATTTTACCTTAAGTTCAAGCCTTGTAGTGTTTGCTTGGCATCGGTAAGTTGCAAGAACAAAGTTGCTATTTGGCTGTGAACAATAAAAAACAGTGGAATAATATAAAACAGGGCAAATGAAACAAAAATCACCAAATAAGTAGTTTAACTCCATCTATTTAAAACTGCACATAGATCAATCCAAATTCTATTTGTTTTATTTTAATTAAAGAGTATTAAGATATTTGTCCATGCAATCTTCAAGTTTGGTTATTTCCTTCGTTTCCCTTACCTCGGAATCACAGCTGCTAAAACTAACAACAGCCGAATTTTTATCCACATCCAGCAAGTCTATTGGGACATCACTCTGTAGAGCATACAGGGGAGGAAAAACAAAAAGTTTAAGGTCTTGTGTAGCTTCTAATGCACTTATCCTCTAACTCTAATCAATCTTTTCTAATAATGGTGAGGCAATATGATTGCTTCATCATTCATAGGTAAAAGCTTAACAGACATGCAACTTGTAAAGTTTATTTCCAGAAGAATGTGATGATCTTTCTTACAGTGTCCCGACCTCTTGCGTGGCTGCCTTAACTTAAAAAGTGTTTTATGGCCTCGTCTAGCAATAGAAGGCAATACCAAGCATTATCTCACAACTTCCATCCTTTCCTTTAAATGAAAGCAAGCTCTGCAATAAATTCAGGCCTAAATAAAACAATCTGAATATTCCTGACTGAGCTAATACAACTGAAGAAACCATAGAAAGAAGAAACTGCCAACTTGGTATTGCTTAATCTTCCTCTGATTAAGTCCTTTGCCATAAAAATATGCAATAGGAAAAAAAAAATAAATCATACAGTAGTTCCCTACACTTCAGTATGGCAAATTTACCTAGACAGAAATTCTTTCTGGACAAATTTTGCTCYCCAGGTATATCCCAAAAGAAGTTTCACTCACTATCACTATTCTTCTGACTACCAAAGATACTGCAACAGCTGAAATGAATGTTAAGAATAACAACTGATTAATATGGTGTTACTTAGCAGGAATATTTGTCACCAACAACATACAAATTGGTTCAATTGCACAGAAGTGGCCCAAACCATTCTCAAAATGAATCTTCCAGTACAGAAGATAGCAAAAGAAGCACATAGAACAGCTGCATCAATATCCCAAGGCTGCACACTTCAGCTGCCTACCAATTCAGACAGTTAAAAACAAACACATGTTTAGCAGTTTATAGCTTGCCTTTTTAAACAGAAAGTCTCCTCATGCTTTAMTTTTTATTTAAAGATCTGTGAAAGCCAACACGAAAACAAATGCTCTCACCTGTACCAGGACGTTATCTATGGCAGTCTGCACCTCCAAGATGAGGCTGTAGCTGGCATCGTCCTTATTTAATGTGAACTTATCGTTCACACTGAACGCAGGCACTGATGACATGGCAGTACTGGACTGGGAAGCCTGCTGGTATTTCTCACGCTCCTGCAGTACTTTWATCTGTAAGCTTTCCAGTTCACTCCTAGAAAGGAGAAAGCATGGATAAAGTCTTCAGAAAAGTTAACTGTTAAAGCTACCTACCCTTGAAATTAAATATTTTACTTGCCAAGGCATCGTATTTCTAATCTTCTGTTCACTGCTTTCCAATCTCTTCCTTCTCTCCAAAAACAGAAYATACTTTTGATAATATGTGACTACTTCCCTTGCATCATTTAGAAGATAAAAACAACAGAGAAGTCAGGAATTTGATCTTGAACAAGCTGTGAGGAAGATGGCATCAAGAGAGAAGGGATCATGAAACTGTAGATTACTACTGATTTCTGCTTTGACAATGTTTGAATCCATTTCTGAATACACAACTGGTACAGAATAAACCTGATGCGTTCGGGAGGAAAAGTGTATTTCAGCTTTTAAGATCTGAAGTTTTATTACATTTCTTTTTAGTAAAAATTACCTTAAGGATGAAATCTTGCTTTGCATCTCCTGACTCAGTTTTAGCTCTTCACCAGATCCACCTTCTCTGTGGATGGGCTCTGTAGTCAGACCCGTCAGCCACCCTAAACCAATATACAAAGATTATACTCCAAATAATCTATAAATAAACATCTACACTCACCTTTTACATCTGTATGGAGTGACTTTAGCTCAGGATTTTAAAGAGGGAGAATCAAGCTCTAGTTTTATCCTTTTATGGAGGATAAACTCCCCAAAATAAATGACTCTAGACACTGAACATAGGCTTTTCTGAGSTAGTAGTCATTCTACACCGACAAATTGGAAAACGTTACTTATCCTTTTTCATGGAGCAGTTTAAACAAAAAAAATCCATCAATAGGTATTTTTATCTGAGTGTTTAATATTGACCCCTATTGCTTCTGAACAGATTTTTTCCTAATACCAGCACTACACTTGAAAACACTAAAGAACTGTAAAACTATTTATAGCAAACTATGTATTGTATAGTGTATATTGAGAAAAGATGCTGTTGGTTGAAGTGAAAAAACATGTTTTTTTTGTCTTCTTAATGGTGTGATATATAGACTTAGGTGTTTAGACTTCTAGAATTACCTCACCAAGTTAAAACAAATAGCAAAACTGCATTATTATAAAATCCACCACAAAAGTGTGGATTTTACATTCCTCAGGTATCTACTTCAACTACTAAGAATGCCAAATAATGCTGCAAGAATTAAAAAAAAAGCCACACAAGTCCTACACTGATGGGCTTTAAATGTAACCTCTGCTGTTCATTCAGAGCRGTATTTTCCTTTTCTACCTAAGTGTACCAAAACCAGCCTGTTGTACCCCACACTAGAGTTGGCCTTTGSAAAGGCACAGGTGCACATGAGTTTTTCATTTACATTTTTAACCCATCACCACACTCAGCTTCTACTGAGTGTATGAGAAACAGCTTACCTGAATAGGTGCATGCCAAGATTTCATCATATCCATCTTTTCCTACGCAGCCGCCTTGGATTGATGCGATGCTCTCTGATAATGCCTTCAAATAAATACATTCAAGGAGAGGGAAATATCACTGCACCCATTCTAGAAGCTTGGGTGGGTATTTTCTAGGTTTTTTTTCTTTTTTTCCTTTCCTTTTATTCCTTTTTCGATGTCTCAGAAAATACCTACATAGATGCAGAATAGCTAGACACTAAAGGCAAGTGAACTAGCTGATCACCATCAGARCTAAATCAGGGTGTTTTAATTAATACATTTCGACACTGCCTTTGCTGCACGGAGTAGAAAGAGGTGGCTTAAAGTAAAACACTGATGTAACCAYATTTTTCCAGGGATAATCAGCGGTCTGACTGAAAGCTGAAATAATGTCTTTGAACTAAATCCACAATTTTAGCACTTTATAATCAAGGTAACTAAGCCCAGAAAACCCTGACAGCTCACATTTATTATCTTATATGCAAAACACAGATTATGTATGAGGTGGGTTTAGTTTCTTCACTCAGGTGCTTCACAATGAAGCTCCACTTGAGGTTTCCCTGAGGAGAGGGTTCAGCAGTCAGCAGAAACAGGGCATCAGTACAGGGGTGACTCTAGTTTGATTTTTACTCCAGTTAGGATTATGTCACTTTCTGCTTCTTAAACCTCAGCATAACACGTTGGGGTTTGTGCTGTCAACATTACACCCAGCAACAATTTCTTTTAAAAGATAAATGTCATTATAGCTGTAACTTCCCATCTTGTAAAAGCTTYGTATTTTGAAATACAGATTTTTAATTCATTTGGCCAGCAAAGAAGAATATGATGAATATGGACTTACATGATCAGATAGAAGAACAGGATCATCTGCACTCTCGAAGTTATAGACTTCTAGCATACCATCATCTCGTCCAATGAGTAATTCTTTAACCCCATCTCCCACAATGTCAAAACTATCAATACATAAGATACCTAATGAAAGAGACAAGGAAACCACTTGCTTCATCTTTGTTTATGACACATACACACGCCACATTAAACTACTTAATGTAGTATCTACTACATTAATAATATATGACACATACTTAAGCCATATTAAATACATTACACTAAAGAAAGGAATTCTAGGCCAGCTTTTAAAGTTCTGTGAATGCTATTCCTGGCCGAGTGCACTAGAGAGGGCTGAAGTCTCCGATCTGTGGCCGAAGGTCAGAAAAGTGCCAAGTGATTTCACGGCAGCCAACACCAGGCCAACACTAAGAGCCCTCTCCAGGGAGCAACGCTGCAGGTGAACAGCCCTGCCTGGATATCCCTTCTGAAAAACCCCAACACGCTCTCCTTAAGGATTCAACCCTCCCATGTCAAACTCTTCCCAGATGAACTATCTGCCTGTCCACTCTGCTGTACTATTCTTGTTTCTGACAACACAAACAGAGCTGTGATCGACACACTACGACAAATACTGGCTAATTTGACAGAAATAGGGTTGTGGCTTTTGCCAGATGGGGTCTAGAGCATCAAATGACATGTTAGTGTGACAAACCCATCACCACTGAGCGTGGTGGAACCACAWTCTGTGACAAGCAGAGAGGACAGAGAGAGGTAAGGGAGGGAAGGAGGGAGAGAGGAACAAGAAAGAAAAATAGAGCGTGTAAGCTTTAGTGTAAGACAATAAAAATAATCACATGGAATTTGAGCATTTTGAGTATTTCAAAGGAATGGTATGGTCCTACTTAATGCATCTTAAGCGGAAAGTTTGATGTTATCTTTCATGAGATAATTAAACTCTAAAAACAAAAATGYATCCCTGGTGCTTTCCTTTTCAAAGGAGCAAAGACTAATACATGCTGCAGAAGTAAGAGCATACCAAGACTGAAATGCAGAAAGTATTCTGCTSTGTTCTGATCAATTAAGCCATACTGTGCAGCTTTAAGGGAATCTTTGTTCTGTCTTCAGAGAAAACTCTTAAGAATGATTTAACATAAGAAAAAGAGTCTTGGAGGGAAGATACAAGCCTTTCCTCTGAAAAGACCTAGAGACTACTGAACATGTGAAAAACTTAGCAGGCACATTGGCATTTAAAGATCATCCCGAAAAATCATAAAAACCTCAAGGGATTATATATGAATTTGTATTTTGTTTTAACATTTCCACTTTAAAAAACACACTGTAATAACAAAGTTATACTAAAAGACTGGAAAGAGTATGAACAGAAAATCCAAAGCAGGACAAATTGATTAAAATTTAGAAGAAAGAATAAAAGAGAACTTATTCATATTAATATCACATACTGCAATATTTATAATACAGATACAAAATATCTATGAATAAGATCTCTTGATTATAATACTTGTAATAACACCTAACCAAAGCTGGAAAACTAGGGATGAGGGGACTGAGACACGTACCTCCTCTCTTCTTTTCATTTCCGATTTCCCACTTATGTACAGGACTAGAACCAGTAATCTGGACCAGACCCACTTTACCATCAGAAGTTCCAAACACAATTTCTTCTCCAGAATCACCTAAGCACATAAATTCGTTTTAGAATCAATACAACCAAGTAAGTATTTAAAAAGAGTAGTTATACTCTACTTGCCAAACAGTAAAACAAAAAAAATGTTGTACAACAGAACTATCAAGCTTTAAAAAAGAGCCAAATACATGAAAACTGCAACTATCATCATTTCTTGAATGCTAGTACTCTCTTGTGCATGAATATCTTYCTACACCGGAGTTCTGCCTAGAGACCAGGGCATTTACCATCTAGTACTTGAAATTTAGGCAGAGAGGCTTTGTGGTTGCCTTTACAGAAACGGAACAAAGTGGTTCATTAAGAAGATAGATCTAATAGTGARTAGTGTATCGAGAGGTAAGCAAAAAAGAAGTACTTTTCCAAAATAACTCTGAATATTGCTGTCAAATGGTCTAACCTAAACTAAATTAAGCACCAGATTAAGGTACAAGAGGGATTTATATTAGGTCAATACATGTTAACAAGAAGGATGATCTAACTATTTTAAGCTTGATCCTTCCTGATCCTTCTGCCTCATCCTCAGTGCACGGGAGCACTACTCAATATTCTCTTCCACTCGCAGATGCACACGGCTAAGGATTCTCATTAAGAAAAACTACATGTAAGAGAGATATCCAAAACCCAGACTTGCTTGAGGTCTCCAGAAGGGTAGTTTATAGTTACAATAATCATGATATGTAGTCATGATGATGATACATAGGCATGATATATAGTCATGATAAAACTACTAAATCTCATTGCTGCTGAAAGAAGCTTTCAGTGAAATGTGAGTATCATTTAGAATCATCTAAACAGTAATAGTATTTAGCCCCAAATCTCCACAATAACCTCACCAGAGTCTCAACCTAAAAGCACTACAGTGCTCCTCCTGCCATCTCTCCCTTTTCATCTCATTTTTTCTAACTTGCCTAAACAGTATAAATGCTGCAACTCTGACTCAGAAAGTCTTTTTTTTTTTCTTTTTGGTGTGTGTTTGTGAAGGGAAAAACATATCTTTAAACTTCGAATTTGTTTTAGTGACAAAAGGCTTTTCATCCCATTTCCACATATGAATCTTATCCACTAAAACTACAACTAAATCAATTACAATGTCTTAAATAGTATTAGTTTCCCCACTTGCAAATCGGAAGAGGTTACACAAAACCTGGAAGCACTCTCCTCCCTCCAAAAATTTAGTGTTTTTCCAATATTTTGTTCAAGAGCACCATGCAASTAAATTCTCATCTAAATAGAATGTTTCAAAGTACTGCTTCAAACTACCATCAAGCTTTTATTTAGATAGAACTAGAAATGACTTTCCATGGTCACAGCTGTGCTATGTGTTTAGCATCACTTCAAAATCACGGCTGTATGCAATTAACACTTCTAAGCACTAAAACTCCCGAGACATAATAAATTATCATTATTCAGTTATACGTATACTACACATCTTGTTACCTCCATTTCCATTGTTTAGAGCAAGAACAGTAGGTGGTCCAGAAACTTCTACTTCATACAGTAAATCAGATCCCTAAAGACAGTGGAAAAAGGCTTTGAGTATTTTTTTAAACGATACAAACAACAACAAAAAAGGATGCATATGTATAGGTATCCTTTATTCATATAAATTCTCAGTAACTATGGAAGAACTATTTCAATTCAGAAAACAATAAAAGCTTATATAAATAAAACAAAGCATTCAAAATTAAAAAGGTCTTAGAATGTGTTATTACCATATAAAAATTCATTTTATGGTGAGATATACTGAGAATTCATCTGCTACTATGAGACAATGGTTATATTATTTAACATAAGACAATTACTATGACAGTACTTTATGAAAGAATTTCCCAACCTATCTATAGTTACACACTTAATTCACTTGTGTGAATAGCTGTAGTTACATGAAAACACATTGATTTGTTAACCACTTATATCTCTAAATTACAAAACTTATTTATAGCAGATTTTTGTAAATTCTTATTTTGCAAATTTACTMTCATAACTTCAACAACACAGAACTTCATTTCTCAATAAAAAAGCAGTTGTATTCTTTCAGACAGTAACACCATCAAAAAAGATAAAACACACTCGTAACATGTAAAATATGTTGATTCACTTAAGAAATACGATATATGCATATGATTCTATGGCATCAATAYACAAACGAAACGTAAGCAAATATTTTAACCTGTAAAACTCTGAGGACTCTATCCTGACAGGCAAGTACAGGCGTAATGCAATTCACTTTCTCCACAGGAAGGCAGAGGACATCATTGATTTTATCTCCTGACAGGTAGTAGTGCTGGTCTTTGCAGTCACAGTAATGGTTATAGATGTAGCTTGCACAGAGGAAGAGATCTGCTCCCGAGATATGCCTGAGAAGAGGAAAACACTGCATGGAGCTCTTGGGCAAYACAGTTATAGTGATAYTCTTTTATCTGGTTCCAAGTCCTTAGAACACCTTTATAGAAATTTAATTAATATATATTTGATCATATTAATTTTTCTCAAGCCACTTTATGCACRATTTGTTCCAGGTCCTTTACAACAAAATCAAAGAATAAACATGTTGCTCTCCCACAGGAGGGGTAAAGGGCACCATCTCCACAGCCCCAGCTCCCATCCAGGCTCCTGGGCACTCTCTGTGTGTCACAGGAAGCTCCTTTCTGTGTGTCATGCAACTGGTAGGTGCTAGAGCCACACGCACACCTGCAACCATACACTGCACTAAGAGACCTGTTTCATAAAAACATAAACTGMCAAGTTTTTCATTAGAAAAATCTGTTTTCATAAAAACAAATACMTAATTAAAATACATACATGGCTTTGATGCTTTCAGTGAGATTAGTTTCAAATGAAAGGAACTGCTTCCCTCTTTTTGTGAAACCTTTAACTTCTGATCCTGTGGCCACAAAGATTTTCTCCTGTGGTGTATTAAGAGCTCCTCCTAACTCCAGCCTTGCAATTTTCTGTCCTGGCAGTGTCTTGAACACTGGCTGTAAAATAGAAAAGGGATTTTAATCATCCCAACACCGTTTTTACAGCCATCTTTTCACATAAAGGATGATAAACTTACTTTAGAATTTCTGGCAAAACTAATGATACTACAGACTATGTGCAGACAAAAATAATGCCGCACATTTCACCATCACAAAGAAATTAAGCATTTTAGAGCAAGTCTTTTAAATACAAGCTAAACCAAAAAAAGCTTTATAACGTTTATCCTTATTTATCTAAGCTAATTTCACCACTGCTGATAGTTGTGTATTTTTTAATATTATCCCTCTTCCAATACAAAAATATGTATTTAAATAGAAAAGCACTACTTACCACGGCTTCCCCTTTTTTTATGCCAAAACATGTGATGACCCCATCCTGATCTCCAACAACCACCTTTAAGAGTATAGTACAACAACAAGAGTATAGTACAACGTTGCATTTTATTACATTTGCAAATACTCCTTCTTTTAAAATAACACTTTTCCTAGATTAGCCCTACTTTGCTGTGCTTTGGTAAGCATGATTAAGTCCGACAGTACTTATATATATAGCTTATATATATATGCAGCTTACATATCTATACAGCTTATACAGCTGCATGGGATTATGCTTTAGAGCACTATGCAAACTGCTACAAAGAGCACAGTATAGCTTAAGGCCAGTTGTGATGTTAAGTGAGAGCCCTTACTATCCTTTCTCTGCTTCTTGGTGTAAAGGCCAGAAATCATGAGGTGGTCCCCTCCAGGGAGGCGGATCTTCACATTTTGCATTTATCATTTAAAGAAACGCACTACTGACTGCACTGCGTTTTYCTGAAGAACGTTTCTATTAACTTGGACCTATACTAAAGATATTTTTGAAAGCCCTTCTGTTCACATTCTTCTTCCAGCAAAATAGAGGGAACCGCAAGGCTTTCAGTTTCCGCAGCTCTCTGCATCGCAGTCGCTGGGGTTTTCTCCCGCGACGCCGCAGCTGGAGCCCTCGGGGTCGGTGCACACCACGGGGGTATCCCGGTTCGCGCGGGGCGCTCTCCCGCGGGGACCACGCGCGGCTCGCGGCCCAGCCCGCCCCCGCCGCTCGCGCCCGCGCCGCTCGCGCCCGCTACCTTCTGCGTGGCCCTGCGGCCGGACGCGGGCAGCAGCCTCATGGTCTTCTGCGCCGTCACTCCCACCTGCGGCAGGACACGGGTC